GTAATTTCATGAGAAATCCTTTCACATGTGAAATTTCAGTCTAAATTTCATGTGAAATCCCTTCACGTACATACATGTGAAATTTCACTTTGTTATTTGTAATTCATGTGAAATTGTCATCTTTTCACATGTGAAATTTCAGTCGTAATTTCATGTGAAATTCTGTCACATACATGTGAAATTTCACTTTGTAATTTGTAATTCATGTGAAATCCTTATCTTTTCACATGTGAAATTTCACTTGTAATTTAATGTGAAATCCTTTCACGTACATGTGAAATTTCACTTTGTAATTTGTAATTCATGTGAAATCGTCATCTTTTCACATGTGAAATTTCAGTCGTAATTTCATGAGAAATCCTTTCACGTACATACATGTGAAATTTCACTTTGTAAATTGTAATTCATGTGAAATTGTCATCTTTTCACATGTAAAATTTCAGTCGTAATTTCATGTGAAATCCTGTCACATACATGTGAAATTTCACTTTGTAATTTGTAATTCATGTGAAATCCTTATCTTTTCACATGTTAAATTTCACTTGTAATTTAATGTGAAATCCTTTCACGTACATGTGAAATTTCACTTTGTAATTTGTAATTCATGTGAAATCGTCATCTTTTCACATGTGAAATTTCAGTCGTAATTTCATGTGAAATCCTGTCACGTACATGTGAAATTTCACTTTGTAATTTGTAATTCATGTGAAATCCTTATCTTTTCACATGTTAAATTTCACTTGTAATTTAATGTGAAATCCTTTCACGTACATGTGAAATTTCACTTTGTAATTTGTAATTCATGTGAAATCGTCATCTTTTCACATGTGAAATTTCACTTGTAATTTCATGTGAAATCCTTTCACGTACATGTGAAATTTCACTTTGTCAGTTTGTAACGTTTATGTGAAATTCTTTCACATGTGAAATTTCACTTGTGATTTCATGTGAAATCTTTTCACATGTGAAATGTCACATGCGATTTCATGTGAAATTGTTTCACATGTGAAATGTCACATGTAATTTCATGTGAAATACTTTCACATGTGAAATGTCACATGTGACTTCATGTGAAATCATTTCACATGTGAAATGTCACATGTGATTTCATGTGAAATCTTTTCACACGTGACATTTCACATGTGATTTCATGTGAAATCTTTTCACATGTGAATTGTCACATGTGATTTCATGTGAAATCCTTTCATTTGTGAAATTTCACATGTGATTTCATGTGAAATTTTTTCACATGTTAAATTTCACATAAGATCACATAATTTCACATGTTATCACATGATTTCACATGAAATCACACGTGTGAATTCATGTGGATTTTTTGTAAGGGTAATATTTAATAATAAATAATATATAATAATAAATAATAATAGATATAATATATTTATATATAATAAATAATATTTAATAATAATAATAAATAATATTTAATATTAATATTTAATTTAATATAATATAATTTCATAATAATATAATTTTCATATAATTTCCATACCCAGCGTGTAGCTCAGTAGGTAGAGCGTCGATCTAGTAATTCGAAGGTCGCGGGTTCGAGACACAGCCGCGGCAGACAAAATCTTTCTGCTTGCGCTGGGTATGGAAATTATATAATACACACTCTAGAACATTTTCATCTTAACATATTACAGAGTGTACAATTACACAACTAACTATAACACTTGCAGAACTAGTATTGTTTGATGCTGAATTAATAAAAACGAGTATGTTTATGACATTCAGTATATAATTATTTCATAATTTCCAGTCTTAAATCCGTCTGACCGTGTAGCTCAGTAGGTAGAGCGTCGATCTAGTAATTCGAAGGTCGCGGGTTCGAGACCCAGCCGCGGCAGACAACATCTTTCTGCTTGCGCTGGGTATGGAAATTATATAATACACACTCTAGAACATTTTCATCTTAATATATATATATATATATATATATGTATATATATATATATATATATATATATATATATATATATATATATATATATATATATATATATATATATACCGGGTGTCCCAAAAAAAAGTACTCCGGTTTGATTCCTAATAACTTCTAAACAAGTAAAGCCTTTAAAGAAAAATAACTTGCATCAAATAGAGGAAGGACAAACTTAGATTTTGATATATTACAGTTGTATTTCACTTAAAAATTCACGGAGATATTAATGTCTAAATTCGGGAGCATATTTCTGGATGTGTCTGAAATATGCAAAAAACGGCGTATCAAATATTAATCAAGATTTGCCCAACTGAAACATGCACTATTACCAGCAAATAAATGACACTTGACAAATTGTTTATTATGAAACAAAGTATTATTATCTACAAAATATACAAACAAGATTTATTCAATTCGTCCGAAATCCACATGTGTTCCTAGCACGAATATATACGTTTCCTTATTTCATGAGACCACTACATCGCGAAGGATCGTCATGGATCGTTCGTATAGTTCAGAATTAGGGCATGCTGTCACAATGGAATTGTGAAGCTCTTCTAACTTCTGCAACGTTCTGAAATCTTGTTAGGAACACCCAAACTCTTTTACCTTTTCTCAATCTTGGCAAGTTCAAAATAAACTGAGAATGAAACACAATGAAACCATACAACTCCATAAGACATAACAAGCAACTCCCCAGAGACATCCGACATTTTTGGAACAAAACGTATATAACAAAATAGTAGCGTTGATACTGTGATGCATGTGTATTTGCAAAAAGCAATATTATTTCCTTCATTAAAGAATAATATTCATCCTGCTCTAACCGAGAAATAATCAACTCTGTTTCGAACTCATGAAAAACATAAAAAAATTAGGCTATTTAAGAAAAATTTAAGCGTCTGCCTTGCATGGTCTTTATGTACCTTTAAGTTTGTAAAGACCTATTAAATACTTGCATAATTTCGAGCGTTCATATTTCAGGAAACAATGAGCTAAGACTTACATGTAAGATGTCTAAATCTACGCCATATCCCTTACAAACCCTAACGACAATTCGCTGAAATACAAGTTAGCCTGATATGTCATTAAGCAAACAAACGCTGGAGTTAATATTTGATATGCCGATTTTCGCCAATTTTAGACACATCCCAAAATATGCTCCCGATTTTGAACATTAATATCTCCGTGAATTTTTAAGTAAAATACAACTGTAATACATCAAAATCTAAGTTAGCCCTTCCTCTATTTAATGCAAGTTATTTCTGTTTGATAGCTTTACTTGTTTAGAAGTTATTATAAATCAAACCGGAGTACTTTTTTTTGGGACACCCGGTATATATATATATATATATATATATATATATATATATATATATATATATATATATATATATATATATCAATTCCACAATTCTGTTCATGAAATGTAATTTTTGCTATATATGGATTGCTTGAGTTCTTAAATTGTGGAAAATATAAAAAATTTTGAAAATAGTAAATTTTGCTATCCAGGGGGGTGGTCAACTTTTGCTCTCCTAAAAGTGGCTTGCGCACGGAAATGACAAACGGTATTCTTTATTTGAGTTTATGTATGAAAAGTTCGCTATTTGTTGCATTTGTGATAAAATTTCGGCAGGATTTTACCGAGTACAAATCCTCCGAAAAGCCTATGAAAACGTTAAATTTTTCTCTGTTGGTGCTGTTCTTGCTTCATTATGAATTCATTTTTACTCCCATGAGAGTTCCGTGGAATTTCCATGGAATTTGTGCTTTCGAGTTGTTTGTGCTGAAACGCATTTTCTCGTATAATACCCCGTACACTTTGAAATGGCGATGCCACAATTTACCCAGCAGCAGAGAGCTTTTATGCATGGTATCAGAGTTCCTCCGTAGCAACAACATAAACTTGGTTCGCCAAATTTTCACGAAAGAATATCCAGATGTACGATGCCCTTCACGTGCGAATACGTGAAGGACATCGTACATCTGGATATTCGTTCGTGAAACTTTGGCGAACCAAGTTTATGTTGTTGCTACGGAGGAACTCTGATACCATGCATAAAAGCTCTCTGCTGCGGGGTAAATTGTGGCATCGCCATCTCAAAGTGTACGGGGTATTATACGAGAGAATGCGTTTCAGCCATAGATATCTTATATACACTAGATAGTGCATCTAATTATTCTGCAATTCAAAAATTGAAGCCGTGATTGCAGTCTCAGGTCGTTCCCATGAAATGAGAAGATTCGTATGTTTTCTATTTCTTGAACAGGGAACTTAAACATTACGTTAACCCTATTCCAAAAACATTTTTAAACTATTCGAATGATGAAAGTTATTGTTGTTTTTAAGCGTTTATTAGCAAGTGGGAACGACCAACATGGCCGCCATCTATTCAAATGGGGGTATCCGCTGGAATATTCTTGGCTTCAATTTTACTAAAAGAGATGTGCTATCTAGTGTATATAAGATATCTATGGTTTCAGCACAAACAACTCGAAAGCACAAATTCCATGGAAATTCCACAGAACTCTCATGGGAGTAAAAATGAATTCATAATGAAGCAAGAACAGCACCAACAGAGAAAAATGTAACGTTTTCATAGGCTTTTTGGAGGATTTGTACTCGGTAAAATCCTGCCGAAATTTTATCATAAATGCAACAAATAGCTAACTTTTCATACATGAACTCAAATAAAGAATACCGTTTGTCATTTCCGTGCGCAAGCCACTTTTAGGAGAGCAAAAGTTGACCACCCCCCTGGATAGCAAAATTTACTATTTTCAAATGTTTTTATATTTTCCATAATTTAAGAACTCAAGCAATCCATACATATAAAAAATTACATTTCATGAACAGAATTGTGGAATTGAGAGCAATTTCAAAATTGTCTTACTTTTTTTTTATACACCCTGTATAACTACAACGGTTCAACCTGATTTTGCAAGCGTCTCTCGTGTTCGATCATCTGGAACGTCCTTGCATAACAACAAGCTTCAGTGTAGTCTTGTTAATTGTCGTTCTATATGCAACAAGATTGATGAGTTTCACGGTCTGGTTTATGGCAATAATTTGGATATTATTGGCATAACTGAGACATGGCTACGAGCAGATTATTATAACGAGGAAATATTGCCCTCCGATAACTATAAAATCTATAGGAAGGATAGAGCTAATAACCGCAGAGGGGGTGGTGTTTTACTCGCCGTTAAAGCTGATATTCTCTCGTATAGGAGAATTGATCTTGAACCGACGGATTCAGAGATTCTTGTGTGTGAACTTTATCCTTTGAATCGAAGGAAATTTACAGTGTGTGTCTGTTATCGTCCTCCTGATTGCAATTTGTTTTTCGACCATTTTGATATTCTATTAAACAACTTACGAGAAGCTTCGAACAGAATTTGCATAATCGGTGACTTTAATATGCCACATATAAATTGGAACACTGTCGTCAACATCACAAATTCTGCAAATGGGAATAGATTTTGTGACCTTATACAACTAAATTTTCTTACCCAAGTAGTTTGCGAACCAACTAGAAAGAGTAATGGCAGTCAGTCGACTTTAGACCTAGTTTTCAGTAATCATCCCGATGACATTTGCAACGTTAAAGTATTGGCAGATCTTGTGACTTCTGATCATTCAGTAGTTAGCTTTGATATACTTACAAAAGTTCAACGCGTAAAAAAAAATAGTCGTAATGTTTACAATTTTAAAAAGGTGGATTTAGAAGGTCTTAAATTAGCATTACAATGTATCCCATGGGAAACCGCAATGTTTGAAGACGATATTGAAAGTAGTCTTGCTGGCAGGACCTAGTCCTTACATGCATTGATGAATATGTTCCCAAAATCATAATAAGAGATTCGAACAGACCTCCATGGATAGATGCTGAAGTAATGCATTTGATCAGGACGATGAATAGAGTTAGGCGCAAGGACAAGTTGATTGATTCTCCATATCAGTGGGAAAAATTTAGAAATATTACGCATCATGTTAAGAAGCTAATTAAATTTAACAAACGCAATTATTTAGATGAATTAGGTCATTCTTTAAAAAACAATCCAAAAAAGTTCTGGTCTTATTACAAAACAATTACCAAATCTAACAGAATTCCTGGAAAAGTGTCATATGGATTAGTTCAGGCATCTAAGTCAAAAGATCAAGCTAATTTATTTAATGCCTTTTTTCACTCAGTGTTCAATCCTTCTGACTCTACCAATTTAATACAATTACCTGAGCTTAGTTATAATGTTGAACATGAATTATCCAAACTTGTGATTGATAGCAATGCTGTTTGTAGAGAGCTTAAATTACTTGATATTAGGATTGCCTTCTAAAGTATTGCGTGAATGTGCTGACGAATTATCGCCCTCTCTATGCAAATTATTTAATATGTCATTGAGAAATGCCACTTTTCCCAATAAGTGGAAGGAAACTGACTTGGTTCCAATTCATAAATCTGAATCTAGGTCAGTGGTTCCCAATTACAGAGGAATATCTCTTCTTGATATATTGTCTAAGTTGTTGGAGAGGCAAGTGTATAATGGGATGTTTGGTGTTATAGAACATTATCTATCCAAGTGGCAGTATGGGTTTCTTCCGGGAAGGTCTACTGTTTGTCAGTTAATAGAGGTAGTACATCAATTTGGTGAAGCACTTGAGAATAAATGCCAAATTGATGTTATATATCTAGATTTTTCAAAAGCCTTTGATAAAGTTCCACATGTCAAACTTGTGCACAAACTTGAATCATTAGGTATTAGGGGATCTTTACTATCTTGGTTTAGATCTTACTTGACAGGAAGAAAACATAGAGTAGTAATTAATGGTGAGCAATCTGAATATTTACCAGTGACCTCGGGGGTGCCACAGGGATCAATTTTGGGGCCTTTGTTGTTCCTTATTTATATTAACGATATGCCTAATTGCATATCGGAGAAAACAAGCCTCCCACTTTTTGCCAATGATTCAAAGTGTTTCAGTTTGATTTTGGGACAGGAAGATGGTATTAGATTGCAGGATGATTTGAATAATGTGTTAGATTGGGCTCATACCTGGGGAATGGAATTTAATTATGCTAAGTGTAAGGTTTTAAGAATTGCGCGTATTAAGAAACCATATAATATAGATTATTTCTTGGCGGTAAGAAATTGGAATGAGTTCTTGTCGAAAAAGATCTCGGTGTTCTAGTAACATATAATCTAAGCTGGAATAGCCATGTTGATTGTATTACTTCCAAGGCTCATAAAATGTTAAATCTTTTATACCATACCTGTAAGGAAATAAGTGATATTAGCGTAAAAAGAGAATTGTTTATAACTTGGGTTAGATCACGTTTGGAGTATGCCAGTCCTGTTTGGTCTCCTCATACCAAGAGAAATATTATATCAATTGAACAGGTTCAACGAAAAGCCACCATGTTTATTGTAGGCAGAGATTTTAATTACAATGACTGCCTTGTTAAATTGAATTTTATTCCCCTTGTGTATCGGAGAGAAATTAGTGATCTTGTATTTTTCTATAAGTGTTTTAAGGGTATGTATAATACCGATATCTTTCAGTGCATATCCTTTCGTTCTTGCACTAGGTCACTCAGAGGCATTGACTATTTAACTTTAAATGCCCCATTTAGCAGAACAGAGGCATTTAAAAATAGTTATTTAGTCCGAATATGTCGACTGTGGAATGATTTACCACTTGGAATAAGAGAGTCAGATAGGCTCTCCGTATTTCGACGTAGTTTAATCTCAACATATTATGATAAATTTAAAGCATTGTGTGATGTAACTTAGTTTTTCAGTATTTCCATAGACTTGTAATATTATATAGGCATAGTTTCTTAATTCATTTAGTATTTAACTTATATCGACTATTGGCGGTTTAAGTGTTATGGAATCTTGAATTCTGTTTTAAAGCATTGTGTGAAGTAACTTAGTTTTTCAGTATTTCCATAGACTTGTAATATTATATAGGCATAGTTTTTTAATTCATTTAGTATTTAACTTATATCGACTATTGGCGGTTTAAGTGTTATGGAATCTTGAATTCTGTTTTAAACCGACCACAAATGACATTCATAATTTGTAAATATTATGTTCATTTCAAATTTGATTAAATTAAAAAAATTAAATTAAATTAATATTTCTGTCGGACAAAGGAAATATTCCCAGTAATACTGCTGATCTTCAAGGAATGTATTATACATTCCTCATATGTAAAAACCACAATTAATTAAAAGTGTATGTCAGTAACCACCAAAAATACTGGCAAGGATAACTAACGGTATGAATAAAAGAGTCTCATATATTTTTGTAGGGACAAATGATTTTTTATTGAAAAATGTTGGTTTGTTGACTATGTCTATGGCAATGGATATGACTGGCACAGCAGAAGGAGAAATGATACATGCAATAAGGAGACGGTGGAAAAAAGACAACTTTGCAAAAGTGGTCAAGAGGCTTGCATCATTTTGTAAGAGGTGCAGAATAATTGAAAAATTTGATCCTTTATTTGTGTCAGTTTGGAATCTGTAGTTTCTGTAGTTGTTGTATATGCATATATCTGCAAAAGTATCATGTGCATGTTTATAATTTAAATTAAATCAAATATATTTAATTCAATAGTAAAAAGTCCTTTTTAACGAAACGTCAAAGTTCTGCTTGTGTTTTGCAGGTAGTTGTATCTCTCTCAATCATATCTGTCTTGTTATCATTGTTACCTATGCTGGCACAGACCATTCTAGATTTTATAAAATATATTACCCAGCATAAATATTGCACCAGTCTCCTTGAATATGTTGTCAAAATTTATTATTAATCAAATTTCGACTCATTTATATTTCATAACAATGTAATAAGCAAAATTTACATGCTATGTTTGAATTTGAACAGCAAAATTGTGGCAAAGGACAGAAATTCATGCCCTCACGATTTGGCAAGATTTTATCAAAGATACTTTATGCACCAGTCAATTGAAACTACGGCCCCCGACCCACGCGGCATAGTGGGGAATTAACACGGTCAGGGCCGTGGTTTAATGCTACAACTCCCCGGGGATACCGGGTATTTAACGAAAATATAATTTGCCGGGGAAAAATAGCGGGGATTTAACGCTCATTTAACGAGATTTATATTCAAAATGGCGGCAAAACAGTTATTTTTAATAAAAAGTTAAAAATATTTTATATTGCTTTGAATACAGAATCAATACAAACAGTTATCGCTGGTAGACGCTGTTTAGATATGTAAAGGTTAGTGACAAATTCAAACCCGGTGTGCTCCCTTGATGTGTATTGTCTATTGATAATTTTACTAAAGTTTGTATTGAACGTTCCCTGGTACTGGGGCATTTAACAAATACTTTTCCACCTGTAGCTGGGGAAATGTGCCGGGATGAAACAAGGTGATTTGTTAAATTCCCCGCTATGCCGCGGGGGTCGGGGGCGTAGTTTCAATTGACTAGTGCATTACTTGATCCCTCTAAATGGGTTAAATTGATGATGATGAATTTATAGCTTACAATGGGAATTAGCAATGTAAAATTACAAATAAGTATGTTTACAGCTATACAAAAGATCTATATATCTATTTGATAGTATATAATTTCATTTTTCCGTTTTCTTTATTTGTGGCTCAAAGTATCCTGACCAGGTCTTTTATCTTATGCTACATTATCTTTACCTTTGTTCAAAAGATTTGCCTGAAGATCATTGGGAGGATTTTGTTTTGGTTTATGACAATACAGGGCTGCAAATAAATATTTGACTTTATAGGACATTTGTCCGATAACTTTTAATGTTGGTCGGACATAACTTGAATTTGGTCGGACAAAAACCAACATTACTAAATTTTGGTCGGCCATATATACATCGCAAGATATATATAAGTCACAAGACAAGTTTGTATAGCCATTCCTAAATGCTAGAATGCCACCTTATTGCGAAATGCAAATTGAGGGAATTTGCAATTGGATTTTGTCACAGCAAAAAATGTATAATGTGACAATTTTTTTTGTGATCGAACCAATGTCTGATCAAAATTACTTTTGCTCGGATATTTGCCAAATTTAGTCGGACATTGTCCGATGTCCGACAGTAATTTGCAGCCCTGCAATATGAGCAATGTGGACAGGTTTATTGCTGCAAGAGGTCCAATTGGTCAGATGTGGTTGAAAATCACCAAACTAATTGACAAGCTTCATCTCAGAAATCATACAAATCCAGTTTGTGCTGACAAGAAAATATTCTTGAGTCTCTGAAGGAAATCTACCCATCCTTGAACACACAATTTTGTAGGTGTCACAAGACAAAAAAAAATTCTGTGCAATGCCTCAACGAAGATTTCTCTTTTATTATGAACAGATGCTAGTTAGGAAAAATAAAAGATATATGCAAATGTTAGAAAGTCAACAGTGCAGGGGAGGTTTGTAGTTTTGTGGGATTGGTTAACTTTACTGCCCACCAGTGATGTTTTCCAGGGGGAACGTGGGGGAACACCGTCTGCCACCTTTTTTACCAGGGGAACGGTGTCCCCCTTGCCAAAATCAAACATGGGGGAACGGCGTTCCCCCTAGCTGGAATTAAATATGAGTGAAGTTCAGTGAACGTCGTTCAACACCGTACAAATAATTTTGGCTATTACTTGTACTACATACGTGTTATTTTTGGCAACAATTACTCCGAATCCTACTATTTTAATCTCCCTGAAACTTGATATACTTGTAGAAAATTCTAGCAGACTAGCACAAAAATACTAGAGTCTCGTACAGATAATTCACGTTCGGTTTATATAGATAAGTACTTATTGTCATAAGCACAGATAACGTTAGGCAGCAGCCAGGCAAGATATAATTGGTATAGTCTTCCGAGCAAAGGCGCAAAATTAAACATTAAAATGAACATTAAAATGATCAATGGGAACATAAAATGATTCAATAAGAACATTAACATGATTAAACTGGAAAAATTCAAGGATATCTATTATCTAAACTTATTTAGTTACTTGCGAAAACGTCATATTTAACTTGCAAAGTTCACTGCTTGCCGAGTTGCCGGATACTAGTGCTCACATAGCATTAATTGCATCATCGAAATTCGAAAGTCAACATGGTTTTATTTGCTTTTTGAAATCTACCGCGAGCAAGCTAGGTGTTTTTTAGGTACATGTGGTACTAAATCCATTTCAAAGATTAAGATATTGCATATGTACTTCAGTACTTGTTCACCATGACTATGCATGAGGCCGTGTCCAATCGAGTGACCACGCCTAATTTGATTTTCGAGAGCGTCCCCCACTTCTAAAATTAGCAAAACATCGCTGCTGCCCACTTCATTCCAGATTTGGCAACAGTTTCTGCATCTTTGTGGAAGTTGACCAAAGCCAAGGAACCATTTGTTTGGGGTATAGATCAACAACTCATTCGACAAATTAAAGAAATTATTAACATGTGCTGAAACCCTTGGGTATTTTGATAAGGTTGAGTTTGAGCTTCTTACAGATCATAAACCCCTGGAATGTATCTTCTTGCCCTGGAAGTATAAGCCATGTGCTAGAATTGATAGAAGGGTTTTGAGGATGCAACCCTACACATTTATGGAACATAGCAGACCCATTATCAAGACTGTTAATTAAGACCTGAGTCTGATACTTATTGAGTCAGTGCAGAAGATGAATATGTCAAGTTAGGCCACACCAGTTACTATGACAACCTGTAAAATCAAGAGAGTCTGGACGTGATCCAGAGTTACAATCTGTACATGAATGTATTATGAGTGGTAAGTGGGATTGCCTCAAACATAAGGAATATTTACCATCTCGAAAAGAACTTGTGTGCATGTTTTACGTGGTACAAGGATTGTGGAAGTAGATTGATTTCTCATGATGTATCAGAGCACACCCCACACACTGTGGGAGTGCCATCTGCAGACTGTACAGGAGGAATTACCACACTAAAATTCCCCAACTTGGAGAATCAATTAGTGAGTCAGAAGTTAAGGATCGAGATGCAGAAAGGGAAGAAAAAGGGAAGATCTATTCTGATAATAAAACAAATGTGGTTGAAAGTAATATCCAAGCCGGTGATGGG